TATTAAGAGCCAAATTATTGTCTCCGCACCACGAAAGCAGCCGGTCCACCTCATCCCGGTAGGCAGACTCATCTCCTTCAAAGATAAGCCCCACCACTGTTGTATCATCTGCAAATTTAATGATAATATTGCTGAAGTGAGTGGGGGTACAGTCATATGCGTAAAGGGTGTAAAGTAAGGGACTCAACACACAGCCCTGTGGTGAGCCAGTGTTGAGAGTAAGAGCTGAGGAGATATAGGAGGAGAATGTTTTGAAAAATAGATTGCAAATTACTCTCTCCTTCTCTCTAATCTACTTCACTAAGACTGGTGAAAATATAAAAGTGGACAGCTTCAGTTCCTTTGAGAAAAATCAAACAGTTCTCAGCTAGGATGTACATTTTCAATATGATCATTAAGAAGAAGGAAATGTCACCGTAAATATTCATGAATTTATGATGTCAGTTCTTACAGACTACAGGCCACCTCATCAGATCCAAGAATCTGAAAAAGTCGATTGTCGTTCATAAAACTTCCTCTATAATAAGCGTGTAAGTCTTTGAATTGCCACAAGATTCTTTACTGCTTATACCACAACCCCTTAAGATGGTTCCTCCTCAGAAAAAACACCTTTTGGCTGCGACCAGGAAGACATAGGTTTGCATTTCATGTACTCTACATTAAAAATCCAGCTTTTGAAAGAAAGAGAACCAGAAGTATGGTATCATTTATAAATAAACACAGAACTTGTTAAACTGTGCTCCCCTCTATATCATACCACATCCTTGTTGGTTTCCTCAATGCTAACAGCACATATATAGCTCAACTGTTAACGAAGTTATATAAGGAAAAAGGACTGTTTCTGCAGGATGGCATTTTTACCAGCTGACCCCTCAGTTCTTCTCCAGTTCCTCCAGTTCCCTCTCTTCAGAAATATCCATCAAAAATAGGTCTCAGGTAGCCAAATTCTTTAAAATAGGAAGTAGAAGAAATGGTGCCCATGTGTCTGCAAATTTTCCCTTGGTTATTGACCAACCAAGCCCCTTGCTCCACTTAACATTTAAGTATATACATTTTTTCAGTGTGTGAGTGTTGTAATTTTTAATTTTTAAAAAATGAAATGAAATGTGAAGCAAAATATCACCCTTTAGTTCCAACAAGGATGTATAATCCTTTTCTGTCCCACAGAGCATCTTGTAGAATGTAGGGTCAAAATACTTCAGGATGGGGTCTTGGCAGCTTCGGGAGCCCAGCGTTAGCCCAATTTTTATCACTGCAGAGTTAAGAAGAGAACAGAACTTACTCTGCCCTTAACCTTCACAAAATGATACAAAAAGTGTGGCCCCATCCTTTCTAATGAGGTTATTTCTTCAGCCATATCCTCCCAGACCCACAGAACAACCCCCTCTCCCCAAATCTTCGACTCCTAACTCACAATGATGCTTCTTCACAAGTGCATAGAGTCATTTTAGGAAACCATGGCTAACTTCAGCCACCTGACGAAGGGGTCTGGAGAGTTCAAAAATTTGTATGCTGTATTAGTGAACTTGACTTTCTCTAATAAAATAACTGCCCTAATACAAATTTTGAAACAATACAGATCTATCCTGAAAGGCTGCAAAATACCATTTGCCCATTTCTTTATGGTTAATAAGGATTTTTTGAATGATTATGTGCCATCAAATCAGCATTGATGCCTAGTGACCACATAGACAGATTTTCTCCATGACGACTGGTTCCCAATCTGGTCCTTCAGGTCTTCCAATGGTGAATAAGGAC